TAAAAATAATATTTAATTCAAAATATTAACCAAAATTATATAAAATATATTATATTATATCAGGGTTATTCTCTTGCTAAAATATTTTAATGAATTCAAAATAAAATAAATCTTAACTGAAAGCATACAAATAATATTTAATTCAAAATATTAGCAAAAATTATAATATCGATGACACTAAAATAATCCTATATTATATATACCATTATATTTTATACTATAGGGCTGTTGAATGCTTCATTCTGATTGGTTGACAAATATTTCGAAGTTTCTATTCATCAAAGAATCCTGAAAAATAAAATGTATTTTAGGTTTTCCACAAAAATCTAAAGCAGCACGACTGTTTCAACATTGATAATAATCATACATGTTTCTTGAGCATCAGATCCTCATATTAGAGTGATTTCTGAAGGATCATGTGACACTGAAGACTGGAGTAATGATGATAAATTCAGCTTTGATCACAGGAATAAATTATATTTTCACATATGAAAACAGCTGTTTTACACTAATATTTTCCCAGTTTTTACAGTATTTTTGATCCAGTTTTGATGCACAGATGTCAGTGTTCAGTGTCCTCCTCCATCTTACTGTTTAATCTCCATCTTTTACCTCGACACAGGTGATTCATATCTGACAATCTCTCCCTATTTTCTGGGCTCTTATTCCTCCAGATAATATATTTGCATTAATTTTTCATCAGCTAGTAATGCGATTCATTCTCGGTGTCTCGTGCAGAGGAGAGATTGCGTTACTTCATTGAGCTCCACACAGACGGAAGCGCTTTCACAGGCACAGATGGATTGTGGGTAAAACACACCATTACAGACCTGTTTTAACTCCAGCACACATGCTCTTATGTTACTCCGCCATACACATTAGTCGAGACTCGACACACACTGCATAAAATGAGTTTTCTTACATTCTTAAATCAAGATGCTTTTATTTGACAAGCAAAATGGCATTAGATATTAAGTCTTGCTTTTAAAATTAAAATTAAGTGAATTTATGCTAAAAACAATGCCAATGGGGTAAAATGGTAACACTTTACAATAAGATCCCATTAGCTAATATTAGTTTATGTATTATGAATCAAAAATACAACTATTCATGTTAGCTGTGGTTCACTAAATAATCAAATTAACAGATACAACTTTTGATTTTAATAATGTAGGCCTAATAGCAAATGTTGAAATTAACATTAAGTAATGTAAGTTTTCATTGTTAGTTCATGTTAACTAACTGAATTATGACAAATGAAACCTTATTGTAAAGTCTTTCCAAAAAAAAAAAAAAAAAAAACTTAATTCAAAGGGAAACCCAGTTTTATTTTCCGGACCTCATTAGCAGATATTTCCTCTCGCTTTCAGTTTAAACTCACTTCATTTTAATAATTTTTTGAGAAAGCAAGACTTGTTATTTTAAGGCCTTTTGCTTCTCCAGTAAATATATCTTGATACAGATAATCACATTGTAATAACATGCACAAAAAAGAAAAGTAAGAAAGGAAGAAATATCTGAGAGTGTGTGTGACTGTCACTGATTTCCCACATGACAGGCCTTTAAAAACAGCATCCGCAGGAAGAGAGCTGAGATGTTCGGAAAACATTTAGCGGATCAATACGCCGGGGAGCGAGTGTGTGCTCTGGGACACGAGCCTTTCCAGCCGGAATACGGTTACACTTCATCAGTCAGACGCACGGCCGAGCGACTCAGCACATCCCTGTGTCTCTGCCCAACAGAAGCGGCCCGTGCCAACAGCGCCTCGGCTCCAGCGCGGCTCTGACACGGGCCACCGGAGCGCCAGCCAACGACAGCTACGGCTCTGACACGGTGTGTGTGTGTGTGTGGCAGGAGCTGAGCCTGAGCGCTGACGTGTGTTTGAGCAGATATAGGTACTCGGTAAAGCATGTGACTGACAACAAATGGCATTGCAAAGTGACATGTGACCCAATGAACGGTGAAACACTTCACACACACGTGCATCAGTGTGTTTCTCAAGAACTCCTGAAGACACACAAGCTTGAAACCGTCTGCAAAAACATCGGCGTATGTTGTCTGGGTTGCGTTTTTTTTTTTTTTTTACTTTGTATGGTTTTGTTCATGGCAGTGTTGGTATTGTTAACTACAACTATTACAAATATTGTTAATTCATTGAAAAAAAAAAAAATATATATATATATATATATATATATATATATATTATACAAAAAACTGAGAAAATGTAAAATGACAAATGTTGCCTTGGAATAAAATTACAACAAAAAAATTACTGAAATAAAATAATTTTAAGTTAAACAAACTAAAACAAAAAATAATAAATTAAAGCTAAACACACGCACGCACGCACACAGGCAGGCACACACACACACACAACCCTAACACTATAAACAAATACAAATTAGTTATTCAAATTACAAAAAAAAAAGTTGCTGAAATAAACTAAATTTAAGTTGAAGTACTGACATTACTAAAACTAAAACAAAAAATAATAAATTAAAGCTAAACACACGCACACACACAGGCAGGCACACACACACACAACCCTAACACTATAAACTAAAAAAAATTAGTTATTAAAATTACAAAAAAATAGTTGCTGAAAAAAACGAAATTTAAGTTGAAGTACTAAAATTACTAAAACGTAAACATAAAACATGTATAAAACATTTAAGTTAATGTCAAAATTAATGTAGTATTAACAGACGTAACGTTTTCATTTTTATAATGTATTAGTTAAATGGTAAAATGAATGTTAACTAACATTTATAAATGCAAAAGAAATTTGGGTTACACTTTATTTTAAGTGTAACTATTTATTACAGTGTAATTATATATTTAAGTACTGAGTAATACTAAGCAACTACATGTGCTGACTATAGGGTTAGGGTTTGGTTGAGGGTTAGTTGCATCTAATTATGCATAATTTACTGTTATTACTACGGTGAGTACATGTAACAAGGACACTGTAAAATAGAGCCCGACCGATATGGATTTTTGGGGGCCGATGCCGATACCGATATTAGGGAGTAAAAAAGCCCGATACCGATATATCGGCCGATATTATTTATGTGTATATTATAATACAGTAGCAATATTATTTATGTGTATTGTAGTACAGTATACCAGTCAAAAGTTTGGACACTTTCCTATTGGTGTGTACAAACTTTTGATGGGTACTTTACACAGTATAAACAGAATAAATATATTTTATAAACACGTTTTGCAATGATCACTCAAATGTGGTAATCAAACACTTGTTTGACACAGATATGTAATGGAGGCAGGGGGAATGATAGAATGAGAATTATACAGCTGAGCTGTAACCAAACTAGTTTGCGTTGCATGTTATATTATATTATATTATATTCTAATACTGTTGCATAATCTTCACTAACGACTTTGTCTTTTAATTTAGTCATAACTTGTATCAATAAATATATAAAAAGTGTCACTGACAAAACCTTATTATCTTCTATTTTTACTCTTAATTCCTCTAATCTCTATCAGTGGAGGAAGAACTCAGATCTTTTTACTAAAGTAAAATTAATAATATCATAATGAAAACGTTTTTAATTACATATGTACAGTACTTTTATACTATTTTAAATAATTAGTAAGCAAAATGTACTAAACGTGAAACTAGGCTACTCTTAATGCAAAATGGCCCTATATAAAGTGTTATAATTATACAAATTATTGGAATATTGCTTGATGTTGTAACGTAGCGTTATCAGGCAGAATGAGCTTTAACACTGTGTCTACACCGAACGCGGCCGTTAATGCTCGCGTCGCAACAGTTTACCCGAGACAAAGCAGAATCAGTTTACTGTCGGAGATCGCTCGCGCCACGCATTTTAATCAATGTTTCATCAACCAATTGCCTTAATAAATAAGAAGTAGGCCTAAATATAGCAGACAATATAATCAGGACTTCTCAGCTGCGCGCTTGCAATAGTCACAAGCTCACACAATACGTGACAGAGGCTGGTAGCAGAGAAATCAATTCTGTGAATTACACTGCGCAAATCACAAGTAGGCTACTACCCACCGGATGAAGAAGGGTTGGCTCTCAGTCTCCACAGGCTACATAAAATATTCATTTTATTTATTTTTCGTGTTCGCATTAAGGAAAAACAATGTTACAGACGCGACAGTTCAGCACTATGGACGTGAGCGCTCTGAAAGTGGCACTAAAATATGCTTTGAAACTTTCACATAGACATCAAACAGAAAGCACAAAACCTTTCGTTTCAAAGTGAATTTCGTTTTGTATTAATTGTATCTTAATTTTAATCAATGTTTCATCAACCATTTGCCTGGATTTAATTTATAAGAAGTAAATTTAGCAGACGATAGATAATCTCGACACGGAGGCGCCTGCGGGTGAACTGGAGCTCGTCTCATGAACCGAAACTCAGCGTATAGACCTGAGAATTGAAATATATCTATATTGAAATGTCTGCTTTTAAACAGAACAATTCAAAACGAAAGACAGACAGACTCATGTAATCGAATGAAATGTGCATTTCTCTCTGGCGCGCGCTCACTCAAGATCGCGAGTCAGCGTCGTCAACTTCATCTTTGGCTGACACTGACTGAAAACACTTGTTTATTAATAAACAATTAAAATGTCTCCTTGCTATATTTGTTGTATTCATAATCATTACTTTTGCCAGTTCTTGTGACAGCTTTTAGGTGCTTTATTGGCAGCGCCACCCTTACATGAATCACCGCACCCGCATTTTTTAAAATATTCATTTATCGGCCATTATAAATGCCGATACCAATAGTTAGGAAAATGCCTAAAATCGGCCGATAATATCGGCCCGCCGATATATCGGTCGGGCTCTACTGTAAAATAAAGTGTTACCGAAATTTGCATAGTTATGTATTGTAAAATGTTACCGTTTATATTGTAACAAAATATTTTTTAAATGATTTCAGTCAAATAACTATAATAACCCTGGAACGGATATTGATATGAAAGCTCTCCTCACCTTCCTTCAGCATGCCCACTTTCAGACACTTCATGAAGCGGCACGCCTGACACGACTTGCGTCTCCGCTTGGTGATCTCGCACTCATTGGTGGCCGGACAGCTGTACTCGATGTTACCTGGAGAAACACGGAGAACAGACACAGCGTGAGGCCAGAAATAACCCGACCCAAACAAGCCAGCGCAGGAGAGCTTTACAACACCGCACTGCATCCATCAAAGCCATCAAAAGAACACTCTATAAATCACTTTATTTATAAAATCATCTTTTACTCAATTTGATAAATTGCTTGTGGCCGCGAGACACCACAGAACAGGGACAGCGTGTGCTGGGAAGATGAAGAAACATGAGGCAACAAAACAGATGAGACAGGATTCAAAACTAAAGCTTCTATTCGAATCACACCTCGCCAGATTACAGAGCGCATCTTCAGCGGCTCCACGCACACCGCTATTTACATACAGAACATAACCAGCCACTGATACATTATTCAAGCGGAGCACTTCAGCGCTTCATACCTGCACAATAAAAGAGCGCATTGTGAGAGCAACAATAGGCAAAGTGCTTGATATACTCGGCCATTCTGCTTGTGTCCATGTACATTTAACTGCGCGAGGCATTTCAATTAGGACATGTATGGGTAATGGCAGGAGAGAAGCCTAAATGCAGAGTGACAGTCGGCTAGCGCGCTCCTGCAAGTGTGTGTTTTGAATGTCTATGCGCTCGCTCAATTTATTCGGGCTTGTCTCGATCGGTGTGGTGAAGAAAAACCCTGAAAATAACACTGAGTACAGGACACCACCGGGAGTTACCAGGAAAAGAACGACATCTCTGTGGGACAGTGTCGATGAGTGTGTATCTCTTAAAGTGACCATGAAATAATTTTTTTTTTATGATTTTAGTGTTTATTCTAAATGATTTATCAATTTATTGTGTTAATGATCTTGAATGAGAATAAGTTCCTCTTGCAGCATCTCTTCTCTTCTCTGATGACGAGGGCAGGGCTATAACCTGTCACTCACATGAGATCAGCCAATAGCAAACCACAACCATCCAATCAATTCCTCACAGACACAATCAAGCCCCGCCCACATGTGTTCTTGTTCCAGAGGCGTTTCACTCGATATACGGGACAATAGAGAAAAGACCAGCGCGACTTCCGTTTCATGACGACTTGAAATCATAAAGCTTTAAAGGGATAGTTCACTTTGAAATTAATTTTTGGTGTGTTTTAGCTTACCTCAAGGGCATCCAAGATGTAGGTGTCTTTGTTTCCCCAGTAGTTTCAATTGTGATATTTTTAGGTCAAACCGTTCTTGTCTGTCAGTCATATAATGCAGGTCTATGGTCACCACCTCAAAGAGCATGCACAGAGAAGTCCAAATTAAACATGATTTAATGACTCGTAAATGTAAGTACACATTGATGGCCTAAGACACGAAACGAGCGGTTTGTGTGAGAAAACGAACAGTATTTATATCGTTTTTACCTCTTGTAAACACAGCCACGACCAAGTGATCCAGCAAGCGCCGGAAAGCGCCGGAAGTGATCTCTCGCGCGTGTACGTCACTCATTGTTTACACAGAACAGAGATTGTAGGTAAGACGGCTTATTAAAAGGGTACTAATAGCTTGTTTTCATATGACGTCACGCCACTGCGTTGCCATGGCGCGAAATGCAAATGGAGGGCAGGAAGTGATTTGCTGTATTTAGAAAGCACTATAACAAACTCAAAATGCCTATGTTTTGCGTCGTTTATGGTTACTTAAATCGATCAAACCGCGAGGAGTTTTTATCGTGTACCAAAAGTTGTTGTTCATAAGGAGGGAAAATGCAAGAAATTGACCGAAAAACTCCGGAAAAACGGCTTGCAAACCTACGTCTGCGGTCGGGAGGAGCCGAATGGGAAAATGCCCGTGTGTCAGTGATCACTTCGTCAAAGGTGAGTTAATACAACTTAAGTGGCTGTGTTTTTGTAACATTAACGAACTTTGTAAAGTATGTCTGTAAGACGAGGTAGTTGCTGATATCTACCGCCTCGATGGCAGGAAACTCTTTCAATTCAGTTGAAAAATCGCTCCTCTTCATAACGTAAGGATCACGTCCAACATATGTTTGATTTTTTGTTTATATCTTTCTCTTGTAATAGCGTGTAAAGTAGTTCAGTACGGACTTTCCTCCATCTCGTCCATTGCGCTCTTCACTCCCTGCCCTCCATCTGAATTTCGCGCGTCATCATAATCACGTGACTGAAACCCAGCTATTTGCGCTTATCCGGGATGTTTAAACCGTCATAAAAAATAAAATAAAATAAAATAATAATAATTGTATGAGTGACGTACACGCGCGAGAGATTACTTCCGGCGCTTTCCGGCGCTTGCTGGATCACTTGGACGTGGCTGTGTTTACAAGAGGTAAAAACGATATAAATACTGTTCGTTTTCTCACACAAACCGCTCGTTTCGTGTCTTAGGCCATCAATGTGTACTTACATTTACGAGTCATTAAATCATGTTTAATTTGGACTTCTCTGTGCTGCTCTTTGAGGTGGTGACCATAGACCTGCATTATATGACTGACAGACAAGAACGGTTTGACCTAAAAATATCAAAATTGAAACTACTGCGGAAACAAAGACACCTACATCTTGGATGCCCTTGAGGTAAGCTAAAACATACCAAAAATTAATTTCAAAGTGAACTATCCCTTTAATTGTATAAGGAAAGCTTCAGGATGACAGCCGCTTCTCTTTTGTTGACAACAGCTTTATAAGGTTTATAAGCACTTCTCATTACCAGTTTGGGAAGATGGTCGGTGCATGTTGTGTTTTCAAATGCACATTATAAGCATCCAAATCAGCAGCGTTTACTGTGAATCGAGCCACTCGGAGCCGCTGAAAACACCAGATCGTGATCTACTCGCGTGTAAATAAACACAGAGCCGCGCTTCACACTGAAACACGCAGCGCTTATATTTATTGCTGACTTTAAAAAGTGCAGCTTTTTAAAATTAAATGGGTCGGTTCTGGCAGTTCGGTCTTCTTATTCATGACAACTGTGTTTCAACTCTATTAGTGTAACGTAACTGTTCAATGTTCTGCTGTCTCTCTATTTAACAATGTTCCTTCAAAACCCCTCACTGACTGTGTGCTTATTTTCACGGAAGCCACAGAATAACAAAATAAAAAAGGTAATTGTGACTTTTTATCACACAATTCAGACTTTTTGAGTGAGTTTATATTTCGCAATTTTGAGAAAAATGCCTGAATTGTGAGATAAAAAGTCAAAATTACCTTTTTTTATTGTGTTATTCTGTAGCGGAGACAAGCTTCCATAATTATCAAATTATATATACACTATATAACACAACATATTAAGTGGTTGACCGCTTTTTTAAAGGCCGATGCTGATATCTTAGAGAACCGATATACATGATATCACAATGTTTAATTTATAGATAATAAATAACGTGCTGCAATGACATTTATATTTACTCAACATAATATTTGCTAAATTACAAATGAATAATTTGAAAATGGATCAGTGTGGAGAAAATTACTTGAATTTGATGAAAAAATAAACCTGTAAAATAATCAGGCTTATACTTTGGATTTAAACTTCTTTTAATTAATAACATTACAGTAGTTTTTAAGTATTTTTTTTTTTTTTTGTACTTGGTAATACAAAATGGGTTAAGGTTAGGTTTAGGGGGTAGGATCAGGGTTTTACCTTGTTATTACCCAGTTATTGTAATAAATATAATAAGTACATAGTATGTACATGGGGAACAGGACTGTAAAATAAAGTGCTACCGTTTTCACAAATAAAGAAACTGTTGGGAGATCCTCTGCATCTGCACTGTCAAAATAATAGTCCCATTTCCCACACATATCAGCCAAACTACATAACTAATAAATCCCAGATATCTTGGAAATATATTGACTGACTGACTACTTGTCAAGTCAACTCAGCATTATTTCTATAGCGCTGTATACAATACAGATTGTTTCAAAGCAGCTTCACAGTGATAAACAGCAAAATAACAGTGTTAAAGTTGTTAAATTCGTCAATTATGAAACAAATAAAAATCCATCTGTAAAGCGGCTCTACAGAAGACAATAGTGTCATTAGTCAGATCAGTTGAACTACTTTTATCTGAACTACTTGAACTACTTTTTATCAGCATCACTGGTGTAAACCTTTCTTAAAGGTTTCTCAGGAACAAATCTTATGAATTATTTACTGTATGCCTTTATTTATTGCACTGGATTAGTATAGATAACATGCAGTTCTACTGTAAAGATATGAATGAACAGGTCAGTAGCCTCATACTGTATATGGAGCGAGTAGATTATCAGCGTTCTTCTGCTTTCTGAAATATTCCACAAACGCTTCCATCCCCCATTTCCAACTTATGCAATTATGTTAACATTATTGCACAGATCAAGCGGATGGTCCCAAGATGTATTAAATAATTAGAAATTCACCCTTTTATCTGGGTTATACAAATCAGTATGCAAATGTAGCAGATCTCTTTGGGTTTGGGGTAAATAAAGGTGTGAAAATGAGTGTGATAAAGTCTGCGCCTCTTCCTGTTTTGCCATTTGTTGTCACGAGCAACTAAACAGCTCTAATCAAACACATTTCCTGTGCGCTTTGACTCATGCATTGGTTTTCCCACAGCTAGAATGAGCAGAGACTCATTCCTCCTTTATTCTATCATATTTGCTGGAGAAGGAAAGGCTGAAACTTCCTATTCTGGGATGCGTCCCAGTGGAATCATTACGGCAGGATCCGTCTTGAATTGCAGTGTTGGTAAGAAGTGTATCTCGGCTGTCTGATTGGCCCGTTCCACCGGGAGACTGATGGCTCTTAATCCCTCTGAAATACACTCCTCGTCTCACGTACACACACCTTCGGCTCTCGACATCAGGCCTGGTCCCCTTCACAGCTTATTCGGGCCTCTTCTGTCTGGACCAGTTTGAGTAAGCTGCGATGTGGACATGGCCTTATTTGGCTTATATATTGTGGACTAGGCCTTATTTGGCTTATATAATGTGGGCTAGGCCTTATTTGGCTTATATATTGTGGACCAGACCTTATTTGGCTTATATATTGT